AAATATATATATATATATTTTTTTTTTTTTTTTTTTTTTTTTTTGATTCTATATTCATATATACAAATGTAAAAAACTAAATAAAAAGCTGTACTTTGTAATTTGGTAAGATGGTATATATATAATTTGGTAAGATGGTAAATGACCAGTTTACTCATTTTGGTATAATTTAATACCATTTGTGACAGTAATGTCGAGTATATGCCTAACCTCGACACCCCTAGCCTCTGCTATGATTTCCGCTGTCTCAAACAGCAAATATGGTGTAGAAGCCCTGATGTTTTGGGCATGAAAATATGGTGCGTCAGATTCCAAGAGTAGTTTACACTCCGGGACAGCTTTGACCGCCTCCAACTGGGATTTGTTGAAGGTATTCACCAGCCTGGTGAAGCCAAAGTACGTGTTGTAATAAACACGCAACCACATCTCCATGAGCTGCTTGCTCCCTGTAAAACAGTGGAAATGGATGGGCTGATGCTCAGGGATGTTGTTCCTTTGAAGGATTGACAACAGATGCCTGATGGCATACACACAGTCACCACTACCCATCCCACGACAATGCAGCACTAACACCTTGCTGTCAACTACTGAGGGCAGTAAATCATTAAGCAGATCTTCCTGATCCTGCCAGACATGGGAGGACTCTGAGAAATCGAGACCAACCTCTCCTATGGCTTGGACATGTGAATCTTTAACCAACGTCCTGAAGTCTTTGAGATACTGTTCCCGCAAAGCAGGGGATTGGATGGCCTTTTTCGGATGAAATCCAATAGCTATGTGCATGTTCTCCGGCTTAGTTAGCAAGGCACTCCGAGTTGGATACCTCTCCGGATCACAATACACCGCTACCGAACCCACCAGATTGACCTCCTTACCCTCTGGCACAGGAACTTTCTCCCTCAGATTCTCCAGGGTTCCATTGGACGGCAGATTATAAGCTTGGAGAGTCCTGTCCAAGTGGAAATGGCTATCGAAAGCCTGGACTCCGACTCCCATCACTACGTCTGCCACTGTTGTCCTCTGGATACCTGCAGGCACCTTGAAATTATTGAGCCATAAATCCCGTTGGACTGGATTCATGCATGAAGCTAGCTTCAGCACAGCTCGCCAATGTACAAGTGCACCCACAGAGTTGGCTGGCTTTAAGGTTACTTGCTGGGGCAGAGTGACACCAAGCTCTTTACAGAAGGCTTGCATGGCTTGCCGTTGGGCTTCGCCAAACCCCCTGATCTTTTTGAGGCCAAATTTTTCGCCTGATGCAGATATAAAATCGCATAGGCTTTGTAAAGGTTTATTAATGCCAAAAATGAGCGATGTGGCGCACTCCAATGCTTTCACCCTAAGAGCCACGATTTCAGGGATGGTACCCAAACCCTCGTCAAAAATTTCAGGTATATGGGTCATAGCATGTACCTTGACTGCACCCCTTTCAATATTGGGGTCACTACATCCAGGGACCTGACATTTTGTCATTTTGGGTTCAACCTTAGCCACTTTTAGGCTAGGTTCCCCCACAGACTCAATCAGAGATTCTCGTTTCCGAGATTCCCCAGATGCAGCCACAGTCGCTGGCTTCTGCACAGACTGACCTGACTTGGACGATTTTGCTGATTTGGGCTTTCTTTTCTTCTTTCTGCTTTTTCCGGATTGGGATTTCTCCCCCGTACTCGCAGATTCAGAAAAGGGATTGATGCTTTTTCCGGTTTGGGATACTTGCCCAACTGAATGGGCTTTCTCCCCCGTACTAGGCAAGGAAGGGAAGGAAAGGCTTTTTCCGGTTTGGGATACTTGCCCAACTGAATGGGCTTTCTCCCCCGTACTAGGCAAGGAAGGGAAGGAGAGGCTCATTAAGGATGGAATTGGCCTTTTAATCTGTTTTCCGGTTTGGGATACTTGCCCAACTGAATGAGCTTTCTCCCCCGTACTGGCAGGCTCTTGTTTTCCGGCTTGGGATACTTGCCCAACTGAATGGGCTTTCTCCCCCGTACTAACATAGACAGAAGCAGAAGATGGGGGTGGTAAATTCGCGGCAATACGCGCCAAGGCTGCCCTTCTACTACCCTCCATGGAATACACAAGGCTTGGGGACTTTTCCAAAGGAGACTCACGGGGTTTAGGGCTCCCTTTGGTAGCAGATCCATCTGAGGATCCAAGCAATTCCGAAGAATTGCCAGACTCCCCAGAATAGACCTCCCCCTCCAGGATGTCCACCTCCATGGCCTCTGCTGATGTTGAAGGAACTGGTGTGGAAGTCCCCCCTCCCCCAGACACCACAAAAGAGGTTTGGGTAATAGTGGGGTCAGTTCCCAACCTTATATCCCTGACTGGTCCCGAGAAAACACTTGGCTCCCCAATAGGTTTGGGTCGCACTGGTTTCCTGGATTTCCCAGTCTTAGGATTAGGTGGGAGTTTGGAGATATGTTTTTCCACCCAATTTCTATTGGAAATCCCCTTGGAGAGTACCTCAGACGCCAATTCGCGCAGCCATGAGTAATACTCACCCTTCTTCTTAGCTTTGGCCATTTGGATTTTACACAAGTCCACTACGTCTAATACTGACTGTTGGATTTTGTCAGTTTTACCGGGCAGAGCTTCTACAAGATTTTGGACAAAGTCCCCGGCTTGGATGGCTGGGAATACACGGAATTTCTTCCATATTTCCAATTCATCCAGAACTTTACTCTTGGACTGTTGCTGCTGGGCCATCTGAAATGATAAATGAACACACAGATTTTAGGTTATATGTTGTTCAGTTTGTTTGCAACGAGGACATTTATATTTATCAATATCCAAGGCATCAGTCACTGTGATATTAACACAGGACCCATGATACCATTCATCGCAAAAATCACACTGAATCATGAACCGTCCACCATATGGTTCTCTACAAACACAATATAAAGTGGTGTCAGTAGTATCATTAAGAGTGTCAGTTTGAGATTTCCTTGCATTATGCGCCTTTATCCATGCTGGAATTCTCCTATCAGTGCAGGGTTTCAACAGATCATGGTTTAAGACGACAAGGGCATTCTTTAACTTTACTCTATACAGATATGAGCTCAGCTTAGCCTCAATGATTCCAGGTCCTTTCCATGGTGAGTGTAGCTTGCGAGATTTGCCTTTAGGTGTTGATTTGTCTAATACATAGACAAGATCCCCTTCACCATAAGGTCGGAGTAAGATCTTAAGGTCATAATCCCGCTTCATTCTCCTTGATGTAGATTGGAGTCTCTCTCTGGCTGTTGTATGAGAATGTTGTATTCTTTGCACCAGGTCAGCCACAAATTCACCATAATCCTGGTGTTGCTTACTTGTTTCATGGGGAAACATCAGATGGGCTGGGATATTAACTTCCCTCCCTAACATGAGCATATTGGGCGTGTACCCTGTGCTCCGGTTAATGGTTGATCTTATAGCCCCTGCTATTTGTTGGATGTATTTATCCCATTCATGTTGATCCTTGCGGATGAAACAACGAACGGCATCCATGATGGTACGGTTAAACCTCTCCACCTGGCCATTAGCGGAGGGTCTATAGGGTGTAGTTCGGGATTTGTGAATGCACAAAGCACGACACATAGCAGCAAACAATTTACTTTCAAAATTTCGCCCCTGGTCCGAGAATATATTAAGTGGATATCCAAATTTAGAGAAAAAATTATCGATTGCCGCTTTAGCTGTAACCTCAGCTGTTTGTGAAGGCAAAGGCACACACTCTACCCATTTGGTGAACTGATCAACCATAACAAGGCAATACTCATGTCCGTTTGATGTTTTTGGTAGAGGTCCCATGAAATCAATATGGACCCTTTCCATTGGGGCTCCAGCTCTGTACTCAATTAGAGGTACTCTCCCATAAGCGTCCTTTTTCTTGTTTTGGTTACAAGAGTCGCAAGTGTTAATAAAGTTTTCTACATCTTTATTGAGATTGACCCAGTAAAATTTTTCTTTCAGGCGGAATTTGGTACGGGAGATTCCTTGATGACCAGAAGTGGGTATATCATGGTGTAGGGATAAAATTTCATTTTTTAAACTAGCTGGAATTACTAGTTTCTGGTCATCTGCTTTGATGTTCTTTTTGTAAATAACGCCATGTGAAAGAATGAAAAATTCTTTGTTAAGCCAGTAACACTTTGCAACAGGACTGCTTGCGAAGAGTTCTCCCTTTTCAGGACTTTTACCTGTTAGCAACCATTGTCGGAGATGACCTAAATCAGGGTCTTTTTCTTGTTCTTCTTTTAAGGTATCAACAGAATAACCCCAACATTGTAATGATGAATTTTGACTGGAGTCTTGAATGGGGGCAATAGATGTTAATTTGACCTCCCCTGTTGAACTTAAAATTTGTATAGAAGGCCCATGAGTTTGGTTGTGGCATTCATCCCAGTTGCTAATAAGATTGAGTACGAGCTGTGAAATACAGTCAATTTGGGGACTTTGTCTTTCTGGGAAATTCAGACTGTCACTACCATGTGAAGCATGACTCACCACATTTACGTCAGAAGCAAGGTTAATTGCGTCATCCACGTTTTCAAAGAATTCTCCCCAATTTTTGTGGGCACGTTCACAAAACTTGCAACCGCCACAAGGGAGATCTTTGGGTTTTAGGCCGGCAATATAATTAGAACAGGGAGCTAACCGATCTGGTTTTCTAGAAAGGGTGTCGGCATTAGTATGTTTTTTACCAGACCGGTGGGTAATGATCATGTGGTATTGAGATAACTCCTCAATCCACCTGGCTAGCTGCCCCTGTGGATCTTTGAAACGCAATAACCAAGTCAGGCTGGAATGATCTGTTCTGACAGTAAACACTCTTCCCAAAAGATAGTATTTAAATTGGCGAGTAAACCTCACAATACTCAGTAGTTCTTTTCGGGTAGTGCAGTATTTTCTTTGCTCAGGGGTCAGGACATAGCTACCATAGGCAATAACTCTTTCCCGACCATTCTGGACTTGGATTAATTCTGCACCAATTGCAACATCTGAAGCATCAGTATCCAAAATGAATGGATCTGTATCATTAGGCAAAGCTAACACAGGTGGTTCAGCTAAAGTCCTTTTCAATGCAACAAATGCTCCCTCACAGTCTGAGTCCCAGATAAAAGGTTTGTTCCCGGTCAGTTGATACAAAGGCTGAGAGATTTCTCCAAAATTTTTGATAAAAGTGCGATGATAATTTACTAAACCCATAAACCTTTCTACTTCTTTTGCATTTTTGGGCTTTGGCCATGACTGGATTGTTTCTATATCTTTTAAATTCATTTTCAATTCACTGTTAGAGACCACCCTCCCTAGGAATTCAACTTCTTTTTGAAAAAATAAACATTTTCTTGCCTTTAGCTTTATCCCGTATTTTCGAAATCTCTCTAAAGCCTCTGTCAGATTAGTGACGTGATCAGCAAAAGACTTTCCCATGACCAGAATGTCATCCAGGAATGCCAGAACTGTCTTCCAAGTGAGACCCCTCATTAACAGATTGACAACCCTGGAAAATGTTGCAGGGGCATTTGTGAGCCCAAACCCCATTTTACAATGTTCAAACAGGCCATATTTTGTCACGAAAGCAGTTTTCTTTTGGTCTTCTTTTTTGATTTTAACCTGCCAATAAGCAGAGTTGGCATCAATTTTGGAGAACCAATTATTTCCTGCCAAAGTATCGAGACAATCTTCCATAAGGGGAAGAGGGAATGTGTCTTTCACTGTCACATTGTTTAGTGCACGATAATCGATACACCACCGTACACTACCGTCACGTTTTCTGATCAAAACAGGAGCTGACGCCCAATCAGATGTAGATTCTTGAATAACACCAGCCTTTAACATTTTATTTAGATGTTCTTCTTCTTCATTAACAAAACAGGCTGGTGTGCGGCGCATGCGTTGTTTGATGGGCCTTGCATCGCCTGTATCAATTTCATGTTCAATTTCTGTAAAATTGCCAAGATCATAATCATGCTTTGCAAAAACATCTTGGTATTCTTGTAAAATTTGAAATAAGATTTGTTTTTGATCTTGGGACATGAAATTTTTAGAGTTTTGAAAAACGGGTTTGACATGTTCGGGTAGATTTTGAAGAAATTGAGAATCATTGTTTACATCTGAAGGGGTCGACTCAGATTGAATCACATTGACCATTGGGAACAAGTTTGAATTGGGGGGTTTCGGTGTACACGGCCTACAGGAATGACTCCTTGATGTATGTGACTTATACCCATACATTTGGCGTGTAACCTTCTTAATAGGGCGTTGATTAGGAACGTCATGTTTCCTAAGGGTGTCTGAATCAAGGGCAGATTGTTTGACCAAAGTCTCATCACTGGGATCCATCGGGAGAGTCATTTGACCAAATATCTGACTCCAATGTTTGTCATGATCGGGTAATTGAGTCGGGATGGCACTTTCATCAGGAAATTCAATCCATGTTTTAGGAGTAGTGCTACTATGATTACACTTACCCCCAAGATCAAATTTTCCTTCATAAAAGCACGCATCACAGGCCGGGTTGGTAGTATTTTCAGAAACAGAACCTTGGGGTACTTGGTACAAAATTTGATCAAATTCCACTGCTCTCGCTATAATTTGTCCCTTTTTGAATTTTCTAAAAGAGTCAGTGGGATTGACAATGCACACCACCGGGTTAGAACAGGCAGTCTGAATACTACGAGGGATTAACACAGTCTCCTCCGTCGATTCAATGTAATATTTTTCTACAGGTTCACTAATATTACAAGTGACCCGAGACACTGATCTAGGAGGGACCGTGATACCCCTACTCAGACTTACCCGAGCAATGGTGGGATCATTGCCAGTTGTTTGAGTTTGAATAGGGACTTTTTGGTTGTTAATAATCAAAGCTTGATCTTTTAAATCAAGTACTGCCCCAAGAAATTGTAAGATATCATGACCCAGTAGCATTTGATCTTGAATGGGTGCCACATATAAATTTTCTTTAAAATGAACAGGTCCTATTTCCATGTAAACTGGTGACACCACAAAGCCAGAAATTTTTGATTTTTCACTGGCCAGCTGCATTTGGCAATCGCCAAGTTTTTTGGGAGGATTGGGTAATTGCTGATAAATTTTGGATGATAAAACAGAAGCTTCTGCGCCAGTGTCAATTTTTGCTTTAACTTTAATATTTCCGACTTTCATTGTGACAAAAGATGAAACTATGCTTAATTGGGTCACGCTTGGTTCTGTTCTGAGAGATGACATTATAGTCTGCGATCTTAGTTCAGTGGTGTCAACTCCCCCTTTTGAATAACTCTCAGCACCCTCTTCCGGTACATAGTATCTTCGGCCTTTGCCCCTAGAGCAAAAAGGTCGTCCCCGTCCCCTCCTTCCACCGGCACCAGCTTTGTCAGTCAATTCCATTCCCTCACTTCCCCGACCAGCAGGTTGGTAAGAGATACAAAAATTGACATTTGACTTGCCAGCATCAGCAGAATTTGGAGCATATGATGGGACACCCCCAACAGAACAACCCATAGCTGACGTAACCAGCCTGGAATCGCTTATTGGATTACTTTCAGGACTAGCTTCAACATACTGAGTACCAGTTTGAAGGACATCTGAGATCAAGGGATCATTGTCATCACCATTACTTTCCCAAGATAACGCCTCAGGTTGTAGTACTGACCGACTGAAATGAACAGGGTTCCCAAGGATGCGGTCGCTTACCTTGGCCCCAGTCAGTTTAAAGAATTTCCAGAATTGCCTTTTTGACTCATTTGTCTGGATCTATTTTGGTTTTGGTGAAAATTTATATTTTGTGACTGTGGATTTCTCCCAACTTGTGAATTTTGAAAAAATTGGCCTTGGGTATTTTGATTTTGAGGAAATCGAGGTTGGGAGAATCGAGGTTGGGAAAATCGAGGTTGGGAGAATTGATTTTGAGGAAATTGATTTTGGGAAAACTGATTTTGAGAAAATTGATTTCTAGGGGCTTGATTTTGAAAAAATGGTCTATTTTGATTTTGTTGAAATGGCTGCCGAAAAGCTCTTGTTGGTGGCTGTTGTTGAGGAACTTGAGGAATTTGGCGCTGAACATAGGATTTTTGTCTTACCCACTGTTGGTATTGGGGACAGTCTTTTTTGAAATGAACACTGCTGTTACAAAAATAGCACCGAAAATCCTGGGTAAGATGTTTTTCTATCAGTTGCTCAACAATGGTTTCTAATTCAGACATGGAATTAATTTGGAGCGAAGAAAGTTGGGGTTTGGCCAACAAGCTTGGGGTATTGTCGGGAGGATTCTCAGTCAAGTTTAATCCAACTGGATTAACTGAGATTTCTTCCTTGGGCTTTTTGTTTTTTCTTTTATAATCCAGAGAGTCTTTGGACACATGTTGGAAATAACTGACTTTGTTCATAGCATCCTCTAAGGTGTTAGGTTGAGACAGTCGCGCATATTTACCCGCCTCCTGATCAATACAACCCTGGCAGAATTTGGTGATACATTCTTTAAGAGTGAAAGATTCAGGGAGATCTGGGTACGCGTCTGTGGCCAGTAACAACACCCGACATGCCCACTCATTTAAAGTCTCAGTTGGTAGTTGGGCGGCCTGATGAAACTCAGCACGGGAAGTTTCTGGGATATACTCCTTTCGAAACACAATGTCAAGTTTATTCATCAGGGCAGGGAAGGTGATAAGGGGATTGGAGCGGGTCAATTTCGTAAAGAAACTGAGGGCTTTCCCTTTTAAACTCCAATGCAGGAAATCTTTGCACTGACTATCCGTCCATCCATTTACTTCCCTGTAGCTTTGAAACATGCACCTAAAGTCCTCCCAATCCTCTTTACCATTGAAGGAGAGATTCTTAGGAAGATCAATAGGATTCCCCCTATCTTGTTGAATGACATGGGGGGCTGTAACATGAGCTTTGGGAAAGACAGAGGATTTCACTGACCTTGGATAACACTGCATATTTTGAGATAATTCTTCTTCCCTAGGCAAATTTGATGGTTTAATTTTGATTGCCTTTTGGGGCTCTAAAAAATTTAGAGTTGAAAGAGGTGGGAGAGAACTCTCAACAGGATTTTCTTCAGTCAGTGTTGCTGGGCCCAATTGTTTTGAGAATCCAGTTTTAGCGGGTTGGGGAACACTGAACATTTCACCTGGAAAGGGAATTGTACCCCTACCAAGCTCAGCATCCGGTGGATTGAATTGGTTTGTTTTTGAAATTTTATTGGGGTTTATACCAAAATTTTGAGGAATACCAAGTTCCGGAATAAGCGTGTCACCTACTCCATTATTGGCGCCTGGTATTTGTAATGAATGGGTTTTAGGGACATTGGGCAATTGGGACAAATTGGGGCCTGGATTTCTCAAATGTGGTAGCGAATCATCAAGATCAGGGTTTGAAAACTGTGGCTTAGGATCTGCTATAGTAGGGGGATTGATAGGTGTTATATATCCCTGAGGATTAAACAAAGCATGATCCGGAACTCTGTTCTGGGCAGTAGTTGATGTTTTGTTTTCACCCAAAATGTTCGCTGTACCAACAAAATTGGGTTGATTCCCACCACCATGAGGTGGGGGAATATTGGAGCAAATGTCAATAGGCAAAGAAAAACGTCTAGTAATGTCGTCTAGTTCCCTATCAAATTCCTGATAGTCTTGCATAAGTGGCCTACCTGGTTCAAATGCTGATTTAGGTGGAACTTTTAATTTAGGTGGCTCACTTTGATTTTTAAATTTTTGAATTTTTTCTTTGAGAATTGAAAAATTGAGCATTTTTTGTTTTTCTAATTGCTCGTTTTGGTATAAAAGTTGTTCTATTTCAGAACGTTGCTCTTGGCTTACAGCATCAGGAATAGATAGGTCAATAGACGTTGATAGCTGCGTCGGCTCTTCGGTAACAGGATTAAGCATCTTTGTTGGACGAGATTGGGAAGAGTTTTCTTTTCTTTCTTTGGGTCTGGCCCCCCCAAAAGATTTAGATGGTCTGAAATTATTTTGGAAATGAAAATAGGGGAACACTTTAGATGAAAGATTGGACCCTAATTTTTGTAGAAGAAAATTCTCATCCAAACAGATACCTTGTTCTCTGAAATCTAAAAGAGCTTCTGCACGCTTCTGACCTATGCCAGGTACTCTCATTAAATCATTTATGGTAGCATTTGTGAGATCCACCATAAATTCTTTTGCCATTGCCATAATTAATAACAAAAGATCACACTAATCCAGCTATTTTCTGTAAAAGAGGCACTTTTTGTCCACAATTAGTGTGAGAATTAATAAGAAGACCTGTCTTCTAGTGATCCGGAAATTTCAGTTTCACCGAGAAGGTCAGGAAAAGGGTCAAAAATAGGGCTGAGGGGTACTTTTGTAAAAGACAAGGGAACGGGCAATGTAAATATATACTGCTGTCTGTTCTTGGGCTAAATGTAGCCGGAAATATAATAAATGAAGTCAAAGGTTCACTTTTGACCTTAAAAATTTGTAAAAAATTGAAAATAAATGTAAACCCAAAAATACCTTCCCTCAAAAATTTAATTCAAAATTCCCGAAAAACTTAACCCTAAACAAAGAAATAAGAAACAATACCCTGAATAAATCTCCAAATATGGTAATTTTTTAAGATAAATTTAGTAAAAATAAACCCTTACCTTTAAGAAACAGATATAAGCAGTATATATGGGGGATCACTACCAATTAGTCTGGGGGTCCTCACGTTATCCCCAAGAATAAGTAAGATTACTTTATAATCAAATTTAGATATAAGAATTTCCTTTTAATCTTTAAATTTAGTAACCAAAATCATTACTTTCATATACCACCAAATGGACGTACAAGGGTATGCTGGACAATAAAAAGTATTGCCACCCCTGCACACGGATCGTGGAGTTAAATAAACTTTCACTCCCCCCACCTATCCAATATGGCGGCAGACAAAGGAATTTAAAAATTTCTCACACCAAAAATTGATCAAAGAACAGGAAACGGGCTCGGTTTTCCTTGTCGCCAAATGAAGTGAACCCGAGTGGCTAAACTCACTTATTCTCGTGATAACTACAGTCTAAATGATAGTGATACACAAAGGCGGCTGACACACCCTGATCAGGGGCATGAACAACTTACCTTTAAATTTCCACTGTCTGGACTCCTATGCAAACTTCAAAAAGCTCCTAGTCTGTCACTACAATCTGTACCAATTGGATCTGTCTAGTAGGAAGAACTTAGGAATATTTGCTTAGTGAAGAATATATACAAAGGAGGTGCTGATCCTACGGAGGTGTCTCTCTAGCGAGGTCGCTCAGTGGAATGGTTGAGTGAAGATAGCTCTCAAATTTTCCGCTGTCTATCTCATACTGCTAGGTGGCGCAACATCATATTAATAGATGGCGCTTTATTCAATACAAGCCACAACCGTAATCACAACATT